CATTTATTCCAAAAATATGTTTATTGGAATTTAGAGCAGTAAACATTATAAGAAAACTTATATTTATGAACAACGAAATTGTTTAGCATGTGATTTATAAATAATTTTTATGGCTGAAAAACAAAAATCATAAATGTCAAGTTGCTACTTAATAAAACATTTGTCCATAAGGCTAGACACTTATTTTTCTGATTCTTGGAATACGATTATGCATTAGATTAGTCTTATGAGAATGTGATGCATATGTATTCTTGTGATACATTCATTACTACAATACTACTACAAGTCTACTCAGTATCGATTCTCTACATTAATAGAGAGACAAGTGAGGTGTAAAACAATGCAAAATGAAAAATGAAAAGACAATTCAATCATTCTATTACACTTGTAATAATTTTTTGTCCTTAAAACCAAGTATAATAATCTCACTTGTCTCTTTATTAATGGAGATGATCATGTGTACTTTAATTATTGAGTAATGCTAGGAATATATTGTGTTTAAGAGTTATTTAGGTCTTTGTTATTTTTGGTAATTTTTTGTGAGATCCACTCAATCACAAATTAAAGGTTCACACTCTCTTCATAGGGTCTTACATGAAATTTACCTCATATCAAAGAGTCTATGGAAGAGAGGGTAAAAAAAGTGTATTAATAGATATGATTTCTGAAGTCAATGTCAGTAATAATTAAATAAAAAAGTTATGAAGACAATATTGAGGAATGAATTAATACTACATCCTCCTATTTTTTAAGCCTACAAATCCTTTTAATGTACTAAATAAATAAAAAATCATTCAATGTAAGTATTATATTCGATTCTTTCTTTACTAGAGTAAGAGGATTTATAGGTTTAAATAGTGGGAAAATTTGAATTATTCTTGAGAAATTGGCTTGGGTTACAATATAAAAGCACAATTTTTAAAGTAAAGGGTTTTTGTGATGAGTTCAACTTTTAAAGTGAAACAAGAATGCTACTTGCACCCTTAAATACAAATTCCCAACAACACACTATTTTTCTTATTTAAATTGGAGAATGTTAAAGAGTATTCTAAGGATATTAGTTAAATAATTCAATATTAAAAATATTCTGTTGAAAATGATGCATCTATATATAAAAATTTAAAAGCTATAGTTTCAATACAAATATTTCTGTTTCTTATATTTTTGGTAATACAATATTTCTATTTTTCATTTCTTAATCAATATCATTTCATTCGGGTTATGTCTTGGAATTTAATTACGAATTAGTTAAGGTTTCTTCTTGGGATCGATGAATAATTAATAATTTTATTATAGCTTTGGTAGCTAGGACCTTTTATCATATATTTTTTTTGTATGGATTGGGCACCCTTTCTACTTCACCAATAATATATAAATTATACTGACACTTCATGAGTTTTAGTGAAATTACACAAATTATCTCTCCATTTTTAACACATACAAAAAAACCCTAATTTATAAACATATATTACACGGATCACCCTGCATGAAAAATAATTGTGATCTTTTAAACAAAAAAAATTGATAAATGTAATTAAGTTAAATAAAATATGTATATTGTGAAATCATGTCTAAATAATATACGAGTAAAAAAAATTCATTATTTTTTGTTCATTATAATATAGTATAAGAGTAATTTAAATAATATCTCATTAGAATTATTGATGCATTTTGTAATGAAAAAATAATAAAAATGTATTGACTTGTATACTATTTTGATATATCTCTACAATATATCATTTTTTAACTTCATTACATTTATCATCTTTTTATGTAAAAATCACACTTATTTCATATGCAGTGGTAGTCAGTGTAATGTATGTATCATGAGTTTTTTGTATGGGTCAAAAACGGAGGGATAATCTGTATAATTTCAACTGAGAGAATATCATTGTAATTAACTTTAAAAAATGATAAAGAAAAGGTATCTCCTAATTTAGTTTTCCTATTTTGTATCTATTTCACTCTCATTTGTTTGGAATAATGTACATGACTTTTCCTTATTTGCATAAACGCATCCATCACATTTTTATACTTTAACATGTTTATTTTTTCATTTTCATCTTATTATATCTAAAATATATATATTTTTCCTACACATCTATCGTCAAGGTCACACATATGTGACATGAGCATCAATCATTTTCAACCTAGTGCAGTTTACCTGTACTTAAGGTCACCCCACCTTTACTAAAAATGCGGGGAAAAGAATTGTCCCACAGATTAAAAGAAATAAAACGAAATATTCATGTTCTTATGCTGACAAGTCACAACAAATTGTACCATATATATAATAATTTTTGGACCCACTAAAGATATGGTAATATATGTACACAAAAACGTTTCAGTTTAATCTATTAGCTTGTAAGTTAAGCCATACATACACTTAGATAAATGTAACAAAATCAAATTTTAGGATTTCAATGACTAATAATTTACATTGTTGATAGTTTGTTTATATAAAGAAAGTATATATTTATACTTCTATACTATATATAAAGTCAAAACATGAAATAACTACCACAATGGTGTAATTTCTATTTTCCTATTTTGTCCTTACATTTTTTAATTTCTATAAAAAAATCATATAATCCTAAGTAACTACCATTAGCACATTAACTATTTATCTCACCTTAAATTGAATTATAATAATTACATTTTTTTTAACATAAAGTACTTTTAATACAAAAACATTCTAATTGTATAAAATAAAATATATAAAAATTGAATATTTAATATAATAAAATAAAAATTTGGGTCGACAGACACAAAATGTTTGTCAACACGCTAATATATATAAAGAGAATACAATCATATAAATAACATAACTGATATATTTTGAAGTGAATATTTCCTAGAAAGATGCTTGATCTTTGATATTTTACAATAGCTGAAAATCACTGACGTTTTCTTAATATCTTGATATAGATTAACACTATGTTTGGTTTAGTAAAAAAAAGTTAGGAGGAGAAAATGTGTAATTTTTTAATTTTTTATTATAGTATAAAATGAAAAGAAAGTTGAGAAAAAAATATAATTATACTTCATAATGAAAATGGGGGAGGGATCCACTTACTCCAAGAGTAAGTGGAAAAACACTTACTCCACATCATGACCATTCATTCTTGGAAAATCCAATGGTTTGAATTGATGAGTACATCTAAACCATTGAATTTTTCAAGATTGGATGGCTAAGATGAAGAGTAAGTGTTTTTTTGGAGTAAGTGGATCCCTCCCCATGAAAATGATATGGATAAAAATATAGATATGAGTCTCATCATACTATTATATTGATTTGATTTCTTTACTTGACTCTTCCTTTGAATTTTAGAGAAAAACATAAATGTATAGGTTCCACCATTTTTTCATGTTCTATAAAAAGGAACCAAAGTGTTTAAAATAACTTTAAATTTTTTCACACATCTAAATAATATCATCTACAAATAAGAAATAAATTAATTATTTTAACAAATTTATAATTTGAAATACACTATATTTTGTTTAAGAGAAAGAATGAGTAAAATGAAAGTTGAAGAAATGAAAGGTAAAAAATTATTTTTCAATTATATGATATGAAAAAAAATAAAAAAATGTATATTAGTGAATCAAAAAATGTTCAACAACAAAAAACAAGGCCTTATTAATATTAAATTAAGAGTAAATATGATTTTTCTATCCATTTTGAAATTTTTTTGGTGGGCCTCATTGTCATTTTTTTTTCATTCCTCTGAATTCTTTCCGACCAAATGACAGAAAATATTCTATTTTCATTATAACCAAAGATAGGTTAATAATGAGGTTAATATGAATTCAAATGTAAATGAATTAGGTAGAGTCAGGTAGTACACTGTGAAGACCCATTGCACACATACTAAAATTGTGGATTACATTCTTCACCCTCTTTTGTTCACTTTAAATGAAATTGATTTTGAATAAAAGCAAGATGATAAAACTAGAAGTATATGTATTTGATTTATCTCTCTTATGAATAAGTGATTATAAAACACTTAAACTAAACTATGAGATACATTTATTTTTTAACTAGTTATTAATACCATATCACTCATCACATGTTCAAGATACTACTATGGTTGTATAACGATTCAACCAACTGATGATTTTCTAATTAAACTAAATATCGATAGAATTAGATGTATATGTATATTATACTAAGATTAATATTGAAAACTATATAATATGATAAATACTTATATTTATATCATTTGTTAAAATAAAATGTATGGCTTGGTTGTATTAGTTGTATGTTTGATTTTCCAAAACAATATTTTGGTAAAGAATAAGTCACTTTCATAATTTTAATTGAAAACATGTCGATATGATTGATACGATTTAAATGAAAACTAGTCGGTATGACCGATTTTAATCGGTATTAATTAATATGATTATATAATTGATATAATATAATTGTTAAAATTTATCTTTCCAATTCAACCGTCCTGTACCGTTTTCATTTACTGAATTGCTAACTATGCATAATTTGCCAAGCCTAGCTAAAAAATCCTCTTATATTTTGTGTGTAGTTTGTTATTATCTTTGTACCAAACGGTTTGAATGCAAGACAAATATATATGCAGCTAAGACGCTAATGAAATCTGAAATATAAGTATCAAGTAGCATTAATTATATGCATGGTACAGAAACAACATCATTCATTCATGGGGACTGCTGCATAATGGAAATATGGTCTTTTGAAAGTGATGGAGAGAATATTAAACAAGGGGAGGTATAAAGGTTTTGGTTTATGAACATTTTCACTGTCTTCGTAGAAATGGAAAATATCAAATAATATCAATTGAACTGCTTAATTTCAACAAAATTGGTGGGTTGTTCTTTTACGTTTTCAGATTTGTGTATGACCCTTTAGCTCTTCAATAATATTATCAATTGAAAGGAGTTTTTATTGGATTTCTGCATTTGTATGTAAAGAAAATATTGAAAGCTTTTATTGAATGAATTGAATTAAAATACATCTCTGCTACATAAACACTAAAAACAGATGAAACCAAACTAAGGCATCAAGATGTAAGTCACAAGAGCCATAACAAAGAGAACACAAAGCCAATCTGCACAATCTGTGCCAAGTCCTGACCGAGGCAATGATGCACCATCTGACCAAGCCAATGCTGCAATTTCTGTCTAACTTATGCCAAGCCAAACATCAATCCTGCAACTAATACCAAGCAACAATTAGGAAGCAATAATCAAATATGTTCATTAGTTTTATCCATTATTGTGTACACATTTTGGCAACAACTTACCCACTCTACATAAAAATTTATAAATATAAAGTATTATTTTTTTTAAATTCTTGTTTTCAGAGTCAAGTTATTACAACTTTAGTTTTCATAACAACACAGAGAATAATTTCTTAGTTTGAACTTATCCTCCAAACTTGATCTGCTTGAAAGAAGACCCATACTGCAAGAGAAAGTAATGAGAGCGCATTACTATCCAACCGAAGTAAAATATGAAATTAAGTGCTTACAATTTTCAGATTATGAATTGAAGTTAATGTCAAAGCAAAACATCACTAATCTAAACATAAATCACATGTAGAATAGATCATTCAAAGAGACAACCAATAATGGGTGATATGAAATAATATAATATAATAACATACAATGGCCAAATTAAACCACTAACAGTTAAGCTAATGTCATACCATATAATATAAAACCATGTAACATTATAAGAACAAATATTCACATGATATTCTTCAAGAAATCAGACCTAGTGGAATTAAAACTTGATTGTTGTTGTTTAAAGAGGTTTTAAGAATGCCAAATACACATGTAGATCAAGCTGATATATGCACATTCCACTGAACAGCACCATCTAGAAACTAAACAACCTTTTCAGGTCACAAAATTATGCAAACTGATGAAAGTGCAAATCTTTCACATGGATTGTGTCAAGTAAAAAGCTGGCCATGCCCAAACTGATTTGAGAACTGAAAAGAGACATATACTTTAAAGAAAATTAAAATGTAAGATAAAATTCTAGATTATAAAGCCATAAATAAATAATAAAAGAAAAGAGTACCACAGATGTCCATGAAATAAAAGCACTCAAAGATCTATGTTAATAGACAAAGGTTCACAACCGTACAGACATACCTGCTTAGCTTTGCAGAGTGGAGGGTTTTGTAGTACAAATGCCAGATCTATCAAAAGCACCCTACTCCATCATTACTCACTACTAAACCTCAAATTGGCACAAAAAAGTATTACAGTGCATTATCTGTGAGGCCATAGACATCATTATCTCTCATCTAACTCTACAAATGTTCACCTGCATTTGATTAACTATTTCCACAGCTAGCTACTAAAAGTGATTTAATAAATAGCACAATATTACAGTTTTGGAAGTTTTAGTAGTTGTACAACCACAACTATGATTTAAAACACAGGCTACAACTAAATCAAAATAACCCAAAGTATTATTAAAAATGAGTCTCAATATATATAACTGGGTGGTGATAAAATTATTTTCCTTTACCTTGTAATTTTTTTACATAATTGTTGGGATCACCTGATCTATTGTTCCTGGTATACCAGAGTTTGTGTGTAGTGAAAATCTGAATCCTCAAGCAGAAGCTGGTAGTCTTAGTCATCTATTGCCACTGCAGCATCATCAAGATTCTCATATCACAAAGGCTAGTTGGTTTGGAGCAACAAAGGGACCAAGCCTCAAACAAACCCCTCTATAGCTTGTGAATCTTGATGATGCTCCACCAGCAAACAATGACTGGTTTCTTTAGTTTAGATCTATGTGACCATCAAAAGAGAGTGTAAGAGGGACAAAAGGAGCATGAAACAATAGCTAGGAATAGAAAGGAGAATGAAAAGAGATTAGAATATCCTAACCCTAACCCTAAATCTAAATCTTATGAAATCCAAAGAAGAAAAAGTAAAGCAAATTAAAAGGGCAAAGAAAAGAGGAACAAAGTAATGTAAGGCCTCAAAGGCTCAAACCCAGGTGTACTGTATGTGTAGGCCAACAAAATTAAAACAACGAAGACCCACTTGGTAGTGCTATTGTCTCATAAGTCTCTTTACAAAAAAGAAGGGTATCAAAGTACTATCTATGGTTAATGTATAGAAAACAAAAGATCTGTTGAAATGTTAAAAGGAATGAAAATTAAAATCATGGGGCAAACCAAGAAACTCCCAAATCATAAAATGAAGAAAGGTCGAAGAGAAGTAGTAGAGAACTGAGAACAAAGAAGGATGAGTAGTGTGTATATATAGAGAGTGCTGAACTAGAGAAGAGAGAGAGAGAGAGAGAGAGAGAGAGAGAGAGGGTATGCTTGTAAGTAATAAATGTGGAGGAAGTTGGTTGGTGCTTAAGATCTGTGAGTCAGAGAATGAGGTAGAGACACTGAAAGAGAGAGATAGTGAGAGAAAGAGATGGGAGCAATAATACCCACAACAGTTATACATCGTAATCCAAGGCACCAAATTTACCAAAAACTTAAAACCTTTCTGACCAAGTCCTTCTTCCACAGATGGAAACAGAATAAGAGCTACTATTTGTGAGATTTGGAAAATGAAAAGTTACTCAAATTAAAGAGAGTAATGAGGTGGCGTTAAGATTGGAGGATGTGTTTGCGTCTTCTACAAGCGTTTTCAAATGTGGGGGCCGGATATTGACAGGCCCTGCATCCCTCTATTCCTGTGACCTGACCCTTACCTTAGCCTAAAATGTTAAGGTTGGAAATGAAGAGAGTTCTTTCTCTCCCTTCCCTAGGGTTTTGCTCTTTTTTCTCGATGAGTACAAGTTTTGGGTGCTTTTGGGTGAATGAAGATTGTTGTCCTATTTGGTGTCTCGGACGAATAAAAAAGTGGAATAAAGAAATTATAAAAATATAAAATAATATTTTATATTATTTAATACAATTTTATTAGATAAAGATATGGAGACAATATTTATTTGGAACGTATGATATATGTTCCTTTTGGGTATACCCCTCCCCAAGATAATGATAGGTCTTCCGCATTAATTAATACTTTATTGGAGTACTTACAATTTTTTTATGAATAATGTATTCTAAAAGGAATCAAATACTAGGAAACATAATTGATGCAATTGGTCCTTACTAATTATCTTCTTATGGGAAAAAGTAACATTATTATAAATATACCAAAGGCACAAGAATCATACAAAGAATAACCAAATGAAAATTAGAAATTATATGTAAAATCAAGATAAATTCATAACATTCATATGGAATTATGGATTGGTTATCCGGTGAAAATAAACCATTGCATACTTTCTTGTTTTCCCATTAATTCATAATCATGATTTCACCTTCATTGTTTATACAATCTGATGCATAAAGATACTGATTGAATTAGATATGCCATTATTTCTAACTAGTCAAATAGATCACATTGTCAATAACTAAATGTTACTCGAAAGTTTTCTCCATCTTCGGTGAACTAACGTACTCATGTGAATGATAAAATAGATAGTTACATCTAGAGGTAGAGCAATACGAAGTTGACCTAGTTGTATATAAGTTATCAAACAAAATAAGTGAATCTATAAGAGGAAAATAGATGTTTATCATGCCCTAATTTTCAGTCGAGCAACAATAGCACGACAGTTTAAGAGTTGCCGCTACATTTTTGAGGTCAAAATGTGAAAACCTTTTTAAGCCCACTTCTTGGAATTACTTGTCTTTTGATTTGAAATTCAGATTCAAAGAGTCGGTTACGGACTAAGGAATGTATTAACACCTCATCCTCTTGTTACAGACGGTACCCTTACTAAATTGCATGAGTTGTTTTATACCTTAAACTTTATTTAATTAATTATTCAACGAGACATAATTTACCTGTTTTATATCTTAAACTTAAACTTTATTTTGCCCCTATGTATCCCTAATATGACCATTCAAGATGATTTGAGGATAGAATAGTGAAGTCACGACGTTCCTTTCGACTTAATTATATATAGAACAAAGTGCTCCTTATATTTTTTGGTATTTCACTTTTTTTGGTTTTTTGTGGTGTTTCTGGTTTTCTTTATCATATACTCAAGACTAATATTTATAAGAGAGATTTGACATATGTTGAAAATTAAAGAGAATCATATCGTTAATGCCTTCAATCAATTAAAACAATTTATTTTTTATTTAGAATTAAATCAATAATTGATTGATTTTATTTAAAATTTGAATACTATGTATAATATTGCTTCCAGAATATCTAGAAATATTTCTTAATAATTTAACAAAGTCGTAGAATATTATTGTGATACTCATATTGATTCGACTTTAAAATAAAAAATTTCTGAATTGCTCTTTTTGGGTAGAAATTTCATGTCGATTTTATAAAATTGCCTAAAAAGCTATTACATTACCCACATCTATATACTATATAAGAAAATTAAGTCTTTGACACATTAGTTATGACATGTGTCATCACTACAATCACTCTTTTCCCTCCAAAAATATTTCTTCAATTCTCCTCCAACATTGTCAATCTATACATGTGCAACTTTTCATGGAAGTTAACCTAATATATTCTTTTATCTTTGAGTCAATGTTATGGTAAAAATAAAATTTTATTGTTATCATATTAAAATATATTGTGAATACAACTTTTTTATCTTATACTTTTATTGAATTTATTTACCATTACATATGTTATATATTTATTAAAAAATGACACCATATTTTTTTAATTATCTCTCAAATGTATCGTATAAGTTAATTAAAGATAATAAAATGTCATAAATTCTAACATTTTGTTTTCTTTTCTTTTTACATCTAGACAAACTTTTCAAGTATTAAAATGATCATTTATATGAATTATGGATAATTATGGAATAATAACGGTTTTGGAGAGAATTACTCTCGATATTTAAGAGTAATTAATGTGAACAATGAAAGATAAAAATTCATATAAAAATACATAGTAGAAAACTAACAATAAAGGAAAATTCATAAGGGAATAGAAACTGCATAAGTGAATAATGACAATAAATTTTGTTATACTATTGTAATTTGTAATCGAATAAGTGAATAAATATCAACAACGTTGAATAAATATCGCCGATCGGTTGCAAACTAATAATTAACAATTAATAATTACTTTGAATAAATATCGTCGACCATTAGGAAAGAAATAAAACTCATGAACATTAGGGAATAGAAACACATATTGTCATTTAACTTGTTGCTTATGAGTGATATCGATGATGTTATTCAAGTTGAAAAATAATGTATAGTAATCACTACGTGCAAATTACTATGTGCAAATTAGTATGTCTGCTTTATTATCTAAAAAATTTAATTATAATGTTCTCATTTCCATTACTATTTTTAAAATATTTTAACAGTTTTAATACTAAATAATTTAGGCCTCCACTATTTTGGAAAAAAAAATCGAACTATATAATTATAACCTCCCTATTTCAATGATCATTTATTACTAAATTTCATTTCTATCTATTAAAATATTATTTTCGAAGTTGTCATACTAAATCATTAATCCGGTAAAGTACTAATCATTAAATTACTTATTAAAAAAATATGAAATAATAAATCAATTATACTAACATGTGTGTTTTTAACCATACGAATGTATTGGTCACATGTGTCTTCTTAATGCACACGTAATAAGTGTATTTTAACCATGCAAATGCACAAATAACATGTGTTCGTAACCATATGAATGCATATATAATGTATGTTCTGAATCATACGGTAAAAAAATACTGTCACGTGCAAATGCACGGGTCACTTGCTAGTATGAGTAAAAATAGTGATTTGATTATTATAAAGTTGACTAGAATGATTTTTTATTTATGAGAATAATGTATCTCATGGTATAAGGAGATAAATTATCTCCTCCAACCACTAAAATTGTCATGTGTACCATTTAATCATTTTTTACAAAAATATTTCTAAAACAAAACAAAACAATATACATGTCATTCTTTTACTGGTACGAAAAAGTAATTTATCTACTGGTTTATTTTATTTTTTTCTCTGCAGGAGTTGTGAATTTAACTCCAATTCATAGAGTGGTCTATTTTCTGTTTGTAGCCTTCTTAAGCTTGTCATCAATATGTACTCATCAATCATTATTAATATATGGAGCTTGGCTTTAAAAAAAAAAAAATTAACGTGAAATCACACATGTTCTTTATAAAGATGAAATCTTTCCATTATTATGCTAATAAGTATTCATTAAGTCAATTAAAACTCCTTTTATTTTTTATTTTAAATGAAAAAAAAAAAGAAAATTGGTGGTGAGAAATAATATTCCATCATTATTGAGTCAATTAAGTGTTGTTTAATTATCATGCTTATTTTCATTTATAAAAGAAAACAAAAATTGAGAGGGAAGTTGACTTTGAGGTTGTATCTATCAAATAAATCTTCATTAATTCATTTAAACTATTTTATATGAATGAGAGATCTTAAATTTCTTTTTCCTCAAATTATTTTTTTAAAATAAAATCTTCATTTACTATTATTTTTAAAATCAAATCTGATTAAAATATTTTAATGATATTGATTTGGTTTTATTATATATTTTCGTTTTTATCAATTATTAAAAACATTTTTGTTAGTTTTTCGAGTCGAACAAAATTGAATGTTCACATGATTGTTCATTAAAAAATTTGCACAAAAGTCCATGTCACAATTTAGATGTGATTCCCCTTCTAATCAAGGCGTTCATAATTGACAGTCTATCTTGGTAAAGTTGCTATGTAATTGTGGTGACCTT